AAAAAAAAAAAAAAAAAAAAAAAAAAAAAAAAAAAAAAAAAAAAAAAAAAAAAAAAAAAAAAAAAGAGCCACTGTGTCCAGCAACATTCATTTATCTTATAAAAGAATCTTGTTAAATAAAATTAAAGGCAACTCAATAACATAAGAACCACAAAACCAGTAATTATTTAGCCTGGGCAATATGGTGAAACCCCATCTCTACAAAAACAAAACAAAACAAAACAAAAATTAGTTGGGTATGATGGCACACACCTGTAGTCCTAGCTACTTGGGAGGTTAAGGTGGAAGATCACCTGAGCTCAAGGAGTTCAAGGCTGCAGTGACCTGTGATCACGCCACTGCACTCCGAGCCTGGATGACAGAGCGAAACGCTGTCTCAAAAAATAAAAATAAAAACTGGCAGGATACAGAGGCTCATACCTGACACAGGGCACAGTGGCGACTTCCAGCCCTTTTGGAGACTGAGGCAGGAGGATCACTTGAGCCCAGATTAAGATCAGCCTGGGAAACATAGGGAGACCCTGTTTCTTTCTTTTCTAATTAAAAAAAATTTTTTTTTTGTTTAGTTTTTGAGACAGAGTCACTTTGTCACCTAGGCTGGAGTGCAGTGGTGCGATCTTGGCTCACTGCAACTTCTGTCTCCCAGGTGCAAACAATTCTCCTGCCTCAGCTTCCTCAGTAACTGGGATTACAGGTGTGTGCCACCACGCCCAGCTAATTTTTATATTTTTAAGAGAGATGGGGTTTCGTCATGCTGACCAAGCTGGTCTTGAACTCCTGCCCTCAAAGTGATCTGCCTGCCTTAGACTCCCAAAGTGCTAGAATTGCAGGCCTGAGGCACACAACCAGCCCAGGAAGACCCTGTTTCTACCAAAAAATACAAAAACTAGCTGAGTGTAGTGGCATGGGCCTGTAGTCTCAGTTACTTGAAGAATCCCAGCTGAGGCAGGAGGATTGCCTGGGCCTAGGAATTCAAGGCTGCACGGAGCCATTATCGTGCCACTGCGTTCCAGCTTGGGCGACAGAGACTTAAAAACAAAAATTATGAAATGTCCTCTCACTTGTCCAAAAGAGATTACTCATACAGTCAAGATGCCACAGCTAGTAATTGGTAAAGAGTGACTAATAACAAGATCCTCTAACTCTCCGTTGTGTTCTGTCAACTGTTCCTTGCTCAATCATTACTAATTTATGGCGAGCTGGTGAGTAGTTAATGATGTTCTAACAGATTGAGGATATGGCCAAAGGTTAAAAATACATACATTCCTCAGTGATTCTGGTAAGGAGACGCACCTCTGAGTTTAGCATTTATAGGATGTTTCAAACCCTCTATTTCTGTAATGAGCTATTCTTTTGAGACAAGGTCTCACTCTGTTGCCAGGCTACAGTGCAGCCTCGACCTCCTGGGCTCAAGTGATCCTCCCACCTCCACTCTGGGGCAGCAGAGACTACAGGTGCGTGCCACCACGCCCAGCTAAGTTTTCAATTTCTTTGTATGGGTTTGTGACTTTTAAATATGCCTCTTTCTCAACAGACTTCTTTTCGTCCTCACAAGAGATCTAATCCTCATTATACTTAGTATTTCATGAACAATGAAAGTATTGCTTCTGAAATCTGTAGATAATTGGGGAGGAGGTCTAATCCACCATCTAAGCTTCCGGAAGGTATTAAATGTTCTCTTTGGCTTTCTCCTATGGCTTAATGTACTTACAGAGTCAATGACTGATTCTCCGTGCCAACTTTGAAATCCTAACCTGGTTCCCTTAGCTTTCTTAGATTTATTTGAAAGGCATTCTCTGTATCCTCCTGTCCCTCTCAGCCCCACGTTTGTGAGTTAGTGACTGCAGATTGTTCAACATTGCTTAAAAAGTATTAAAGAGTAATCAACACAGCAAATCTGTTATTTTTTTTTTGAGATGGAGTGATCCAGGCTGGAGTGCAGTGGTGCGATCTCAGCTCACTGCAATGTCTGCCTCCTGGGTTCAAGCGATTCTCTTGCCTCAGCCTCCCAAGTAGCTGGGATTACAGGCACCCACCACCTTACCTAGCTAATTTTTTGTATTTTTAGTAGAGACTGGGTTTCACTGTGTTGGCCAGGCTAGTCTCAAACTCCTGACCTTGTGATTTGCCTGCCTCGGCTTCCCAAAGTGCTGGGATTACAAATATTAGCTGCCACGCCCAGCCATCTGGTATTATTATAATAGAAAATCATTAATTAGGCTGGGCATGGTGGCTCATGCCTGTAATTCCAGCACTTTGGGAGGCCAAGCTGGAAAGATGGCTTCAGCCCAGGCATTTGAATGTCAAGACCTTGTCTCTACAAAAAAATAAAAAAAATTAGCCAGGTGTGGTGGTGCATGCCTGTGGTCCCAGCTACTCAAAGCCTGAGGTGGGAGGATTGCCTGAGCCTGGGAGGTCGAGGCTGCAGTGAGCCATGATTGTGCCACTGCACTCCAGCCTGGGCAACAGAGTGAGACCCATTCTCAAAACAAAAAAAAGAAACTCATGAATTCATTCTGCATTCTCAACACTTCTGCTCTGATTTCACATGTAACAGTGAACGGACTGTACTTGAGGCCTCATGGGTGCTCAGTGTAATCATGGCTGTAACCCACAACAGTAAAGAGGAGGAACGCGCTTCCTGCATCCTGCAGTCTGTTTCACTGTAGTGGCTGGGCTGTCTGTGTGTTTACCTGGGAGGCAGGGTATGGGGCCAGTGGGCTGGTTGAAGACAGCTGTCTGCTGAAACCTGGATGTGCTTCCGGGCCAGGAGAAAGCGTGAGGGGGCTGACGGGGGGCTGCCGCCGCCGGGAGGGGCCGCTCAGGTTTGTGGTGGAAAGAGATGGGTTGCTCAGGGAAAACAGACGGAGTGAAGGGTGAAGGGCAGATGCACTGGGCACAGATGTCTGTGGGTGGTTATTTAGGGAAGACGAAAGCGCAGTCTTATTGAGCGTGGCCTGGATGGAGGGGTTACTCCGAGAACTCTGGAGACCTGCAAGGCAACAAATTCACAAGTTACTTATCATTTCAGACCAAATCTTTTCCAAAAACGAAAGAACACTGTCTACTGTCACATGCAGTGACGATTCTGTAGGTTAAGGAGCTCCTGGACAACTCTCCTCCAGGGACTGTATCTGATGCCTCAATGGCCAGGAGATGCTCCTGCTTACAGAGGCACGGCCACCAAGATGAGAACAATGTTTTCCCATGAGGGTGACTGTCTCAACAACCCCTGGGTGGGCAAAGCTAGGTAAATGGTGGGTACCAGAGGCAAATGTTCCAGGTGCTCAGCCCAGGCCCAGGGAAAGGGCCCTAGGGCTGTACAACACATTCTGTTTAGAGCCCCTGAAGGCCTCTGGCCAGAGCACAGTGCCTGCATCCCCTGCTGCTTTAAGAATGTCCTTCTGAGTGGTGGTGGTGGGAAAAGGAAAAAAATAAATAAAAGAATGTCCTTCCACGGAGTCATGGCCCCCGGGGAGCCGTCTTGGTGCTCTTTAAGCTCTTTACCCTCAGCATACTAGGGAGTCATAGGAAGGGACACACCCTTGTGTCTCCCACTCCAGGGTCCCTCTTAAATCTTCTGGTTCACAAGAAATTCTTCATCACAATCTATTCCAACTCAGGGAAAAGGAAGTTTTTGCTGGTGCTTTCTTTGGGGGATGGGTGAATTTTATCATGAGCAAGGAGGTTTGGGAGAGGCATTTCTGTGGCGCAGGCTGCTAGGGCACGAGCTCCGTGAGGCTGGGGATCCTGTCCTATGCCCTGCTGGATCCTCGGCAGCACAGGGCCTGGCGTGGAGCAGCTTCACTCAGCGAATCCATCATTCTGCTACTGCCGCTGTGTGGATCTCCACTAGCACTCCCTACCTCCACCTGCCTTTCTTGTATCGGCAGTTTTGTGTTGACAAAAAACGTCAGTGTTTGTTAAAAGTTATGGAAAGGAAGAAATGACAAAAATCAAGCATATTGAGCTGGCAAAATTATTCTTTAAAATTTCATTTTTAGAATTCATGTAAAT